TCTGTCTGTCTGTCTGTCTGTCTGTCTGTCTGTCTGTCTGTCTGTCTGTCCGTCCGTCCGTCCGTCCGCCTGTCTGTCTGTTTGTCTGTCTGTCTGTTTGTCTATTAGTTCTTTTTTTCCGTCTGTTGTTTGTCATGTATCGCTTGTTCTATTTCTCTCTATCTCTCTACATTTAGTTTGTACCACATAGCACGCATCTTCACAATCCTCTTGAATGTCAAAATGCAGCTGTGCCTTGTATGATACAAGCTATATTATGTTTACTGTCTAAAAACTATGTTGTCTATTAACCAATACTATCGCTGAAAATGTTCATTTCTGTTGCAGCATTAACAAAACTCTCTTACTAACAGTACATGCTTTCATTTCTGCAACTAATGACTATTTCAGTCAATACGAACAAATTGGTGTTTAGTCAGTCTGCCGCCGCTACAGTTGATTGTATTAACATCAAACTTTGTTATCCTTACAATTTCTCTTATGTGCACAGTGTTTCTTGGTTAAATGATATACATTCCATTTTATTTTATAAAACAAAAATACATATTTTCTCGCAATGTTTTAAACATGACAAGAACCAGAGTTATGCAATACATTGAGAGGCAGTTTAGAGTTACAAACCTTTTGTTCAGTCATCGATCCCTACTTTGCTTATGTTGACTGTTCCTTCTAAAAGAATATATAATACGTTTGTGCATTCAACCGTTTCTCTGAATCTTTTTTTGTTAAGTTTAATGCCACCTCGTTTTCTTCCATGTCACACGCTCTACAAGGACGTGACAGATGCCGAACAGAAGAAAGTTCTTGTGTTTATCCACGGCGGTGGGTTCGTCTCAGGAGCTTCAAATGTTTTCATCCCTGGAGATCTTGTCACCCAGGTAAGACTCTCTATATGCAAGTTATCGTTTACATGCTCCGTATAAACATGGTTGTCTCTGTATGTGCATTTATCTGTCATCTTTGTTGGCTGCTTGACAGAAAAGTACAAAGTATTATACTTTGCCATCTATTGTTATTTGCACATATCTGGTAATCTGGTAATTTTAATTTCAGCTTCATAGCAAACGGGTCACCCCATCTTTGCTCCGCTCCTGTGCCAACGAAAAACACACAGAATGTTTATCACAGTCCCTTGTGGAAAGACAAACTACTGTGTCAGCAAATCTAGCATACACTCGCATTAAAAGCATATGGTAGCCATCCGAAGTGCTAACACAAACAGTCTGACGTTAGAAATGCAGTTCATCATTGATGGTAGCAGAAGTCACCAAAAGATCAGCAGTTGCACAGGCAATCAATTTTAATCAAAAAATGGCCCCACCAATATTGCGACAACCGGCTTCGCGCCATTTTCTGAATCTACAAATCACACCACAACGTTGGTCAGTCGAAAAACATTCCAAATGAAATCCGCAGCTCACAGTGTCACGCCATGCACTCATCTCAGAAGCTGGGTAGCGAAACTATATACTTCTAGTCTACAAATTGAGCAAAAAAGCAACGACCACAGTCTGGCAGAAGCAAAACAGTGGCGGTGCCTAGTGTTCATTTGGACCTGAAGCATTATGTGAGGGTTAATAAACGGTCACCCCAGCAGTACCCTACTATTAGCTGGAGAAGGGACTTAGGACATTACATCCACCAGCAAGCGTCGCCCCAACAACGACCTGACTGCCTTCGTTAACGACTGTTCACCCAACAGCCATGCAGTTCTTTGGCACGAAGGAGACACCTTGAACTTGGGTTTCGACTCCCTACACGAAGATATATGTGTGCTACTGGTGTCCCGTAGCCAAAATACTATCTCACTGTATTACTAAAATTCAGCACGCTTACTCAAACGCGCAGTAGTTAAAAACAAAACAAAACACACACACACACACACACACACACACACACACACACATATATACATACACTCATTACCTGCCACCCGCTTGCTTGCTGGTGCAGCACACATGACTACATATTTATATAAGTATATATATCGGGAGAGGGAGAGAGTGAGACAAGGGAAGAATCACGCCGAATGACCACACATATGTAAGACACTGGCACAGGGAATTCCCTATGCACACAAGGTTGGCATGACTGGCTCCAAGAAGTGGACAGTAAATTCAAATGGCTCAGTCAGATCAGATACAGTCCTTGCTGTGACAGAAAGTTGGCTGTAATAAAGGACTGCCGTAGAAAGGTGCACCCAAGGGACGGTTTCAGAAAGAGATGCATACTTTGTGGTAGGGTAACATTGCTTGAAAAATGTATTCTGCAAGCCACCAGGGGTTGCATTCACATTTTCTAGTTTCTAACAATAGTAATACACTAGCGATGACTAATATTAATCATTAACCGCTCAGCCAATACATACATAAATCGGCGTAGACAGAAAGAGAGAGATGGAGAGAGAAAGAGAGAGAGAGAGAGAGAGAGAGAGAGAGAGAGAGAGAGAGAGAGAGAGAGAGAGAGAGAGAGATCACCGCATAGCTAATTACAGCAAATGTATAGCGTTCATCGAGTCTTCTGTTTCGATATCCAAACGTGATGTTGTCAACCATACAGTATTTGCGTGCATCGATCAAGGCCTGAGAACAGCAAATCAAGTGCTGTGTCTCTACATTCATTTCTAGGTGGCCACGGGGTCACAAATGGAACTGTTCTAGCAAGGTAGAGCCGTGTGAACTTGAATCCTGCAGGTAAATTGGGTGTATAGAGAATGTCGTGTTCTCAGGTGTATCTGGTGTAGCCTGATGAGATGTCATCGTGAAGAAAGGTGAAATATTCAAAAGAAGAGAATTCGGAGTGTCTGTAATTATTTCTTCTTCCATTCGTGAACCCGCCTGCGTCAGAACAAAAGTTGCTCCATTAAACGGCGTCTAGGTGTCCGAAGTTTGATTGCCTGGTGTCCAAACACTGGTGTAAGATTTATTGTCCTCTTTCTGTCTCACACAGATAGTAGCGGGCAAGTCGCCTTGAATAACCGTTGGAAATACCGCGCGTATAATGTTCTACGTAGTTTCATTAGTTTCATTACTTTATATATAGCCTATCCACAAATGCCCTTTCATTAAATGACACAAACTATCAGTAATATTAGTCTATAATGAAATTATAACATTTAACTGACTGTAAATTACACAAAGAACATGCCCTTTCAGTGGCCGGAGTGGATTCTGTGCATGCTATCGATACGATTGTGTAGAATAGAAAGGAATAGAGAAATCGACTACAAGCCATATATGTGACATTAGATTATGTGACAATGGATTATAGAAGCCTGTGTTTCAAGTCATGAAACTATCTTTTTGTTTTCTTTCACCTGATTTATCTGCATAGCGTATTTAGTTATGAATACACCCCCCTTTTTTCCCCTTCTTCTTTTGTCAAAATCGGCTTTTGCAGCTAGGCTCACAGCTCGTCAGACGATCGTCACTGATAGGGAGGTTTCAGCAGACTACTAAACGAGGCCTTATATGAACACAAAAGTCGCCATACAATCTAGCCAGATGATATGTTTCACAAATGTGCTGTGATGTTATTCCGTCTCAATGTGTTAATGACTCCTTCAATCTATGTCTTCTGGGTCTTCCCCTGCTTCTTGGTGTTCCCATTTTCAGGTTGTACATTCTTGCAGCTGGCGCCGTTTGTTTCATTCTCCTTAGATGGCCTAGCCATTTCATTCTTTGTTTCTCCATGAATATGACAATGGGTGTTGTTCCAGCTTTTCTTGTGATCATGTTTTTTTTCCCCTCGATCTCTTCTGGTTTAATTCATAGCCATTCTCAAACATCTCATCTCACAGATGGTTAGTTTTTCTTTCCCGTTCTTTTGTCAACGTCCAAGTCTGACACTAGTAACCTAAAGTAGATATAAATATTGTGTTTATGATTTGTCTTTTTGTCTCTTTTAGGATAGCAGGATGTTTTAAAATTAGGATAAGTCGGTACGTGACATTGTTGGCTTGTTGGAACCTCGTTTCTATATCTCTGTCTTTTGTGTGATTATATGTAAAGATATAAATATAATAATATACATCAAATAATATGATAAACATAAACACAAATCGTAACATATAATTTCCATATATGGTTACAGAGGCTAGCTCAGCCCTCTTACACGATTACTGGGTGGGCAAGGGGCACTCGAGGGCTCACCCCACCCCCCTCCCCCACAGAATGTTCAGGGTCGGGAGGAGGACATGATTAGAGGCTGAGGTTCGCTGCCCCATCATGTTGTTTTAATTTATTCAGCAGTAGCATATCCCCACCCCCCATTTTTACCCTAATTTATGAGGGGGTGGAGGAGGGTGGGAGGGGTGAAACACACACACACACTTTGTGTGCCTATAAGATGTGTAATGCGTGGGAAAGGCAGGGTTAGTGTGCCCCTTTGTTTTCTTGGTGGCGTCGAGCCTTGTCATGTTCTAAAACAACCACGTCACACTAGCAGTTTTTTGATACTATGTTGCCCTCAGGTAACCACCATGTCTTCTCTCTGCCTCTCTCACCCAGGGCGATGTGCTAGTGGTGACACTCAACTACAGACTGGGATGGCTGGGTTTTCTCAGGGGAGACCCCGACATCCTTCCTGGCAACCAAGCCTTCCATGACCAGATCCTGGCCTTGAGATGGGTCAAAGCAAACATTGCAGCTTTTGGTGGAGACCCCGATGACGTCACACTCTCTGGAGAGTCTGCGGGAGCTATCAGTGTCTCCATCTTGAGTCTCTCGCCGTTAGCAAGCCATCTATTCAGTAGAGTCAGGCAGTTTTTACAATATTTTAGTAACTTTACTTGTGTGTGTATATGTTTGTGTGTGTGTGTGTGTGTGTGTGTGTGTGTTAATGTATGTATATTTGCATGTATGCGTGAATGGATGGATGGGAGGGAGAGAGAGGAGGAGAGAAACGGAGAGGGGAAGATAGAGGGAGAGAGAAAGGGGGGAGGGGGAGAGAAAAAAATTCCTATAATTACTTTGACAACCAAAATGAAAACATGAAAACAGGAGGAAGCCTCAGTACCCGAGGACAGCTACTTAACACAAATATCTGAAGGAGATATTTATCTCTATTCAGTTGCTGATGTTGTTGTTGTTTTTGTAGTTGTTGTTAATGTTGTCATTGTTGTTGTTGCTGCTGCTGTTGTTGTTGTTAATGTTTTTGTAGTTGTTGTTGTTGTCGTCGTTGTTGTTGTTATTGTTGTTGTTGAGATATACCATTAAATTAATGCCATTTTCGTTTACAGGCAATCCTAATGAGTGGTACCGGGTTTTCATTCCCAGCCCCGCCACAAGAATCACGTGACTTACTGGAGATAGTTCAGAAAGTAGTTGGTTGTGATTGTGTCAACAATACACTGTCCTGTATCCAGCGGCGGCCTGCTGAGAAATTTGAAATGATCTTCTCTTACGCGTTAGCCTCTAAACTGCCATCATCAGGTGATGCCTTTCTACCCAATCCTATTCCAGTGCTGGTCAATGACGTGAAGTATCTCGATACTGTAGGTTTCTTCAACAGGGACTATCTTGTCAGTATTACAAAACATGACGGATACGTTCGAATCAATTCACAGTTTGGAAAACTCAATATTACCTCTCTAGAATCCAGCATTACTGGCATCTCTGAACTTGTGCAGTTACCTGAACATGTGGGGAAATCTCTGTTGCTGGAGTATTTGAAGTTGTATGAAGACTTGGAGAAAGCTGTCATCGCTCTCAACACGGATTACTTCTATCTCCAGCGTAGTCATTATTTTCTGAATGTGTTTGGAAAACGTCCAAATCAAGTTGCACAATCTGTGCAAACTAACATTTACTTCATGTCTTTTGACCCTGCTCCAAAGTTCTTTCCGAAACAGTATGCAGTTCACGCTGTGGATCTAGTCTATCTGTTTGATATTGTGCCCAAGCAGTTTTTGGAGGGCGCCTACTATTTGAAGATGGAAGGAGATTTATCCGAAGACGACAAGGTTTTCAAATCTGCGTTCATTGATCTGGTGGCAACTTTTCTAAAAACGGGGTAAGCTTTTTTTTTTTTAAATCCATCTTTTTTGTTTTAATTAAAATAATTACCTGGTTAAAAGCAGCTATTATTTCATTGTTTGATACAAATACAATACTTTGATACTGACTCCTCTTTCTCCCAAGTCTTCTCCTTCTTCCTTGTCCTTCTTCCGTCTCCTTCTCCTTCTTCCTTCTTCTTCCAACTCCTTCTTCCGTCTACTTCTTCCGTCTCCTCCTTCCTTCTCCTTATTCCTTCTCCTTCTTCCATCTCCTTATTCCTTCTACTTCTTCCTTCTCCTTCTTCCATCTCCTTTTTCCTTCTCCTTATTCCTTTTTCCGGCTCCTTAGTCCTTCTACTTCTTCCTTCTCCTTCTTCCGTCTCCTTCTTCCTTCTCCTTCTTCATTCTCATTCTTCCTTTTCATTCTTCCTTCTCCTTCTTCCTTCTCCTTTTTCCTTCTCCTTCTTTCTTTTCCTTCTTCTTCCTTGTTCTTCTTCCTCCTCCTTCTTCTGTCTCCTTCTTCCTTTTCCTTATTCCTTCTCCTTCTTCTTCTTCCTTCTCCTTTTTCCTTCTCCTTCTTCCGTCTCCTTCTTCCTCCTTCTTCTTCCTTATCCTTTTTTTCTTCTCCTTCTTTCTCCTTCTTCCTTCTCTTTCTTTATTCTCCTTCTCCTCGTTCTCATCCTGCTGGTCGAGAACTGACATTATGATGACTCTCTAATACTTTATTTAGTGGAACATTTCAATGACGGTTGGCTTTTTTTTTTTTAAATCTGTACGTGTCAACGCTTTGTTTTCTTCTTTGCTTTTGATGTGTACACATTTGTTCTCTGTCCCACCAAATGTTGTTGTAATGCACACTAAATAAAGTGCATCTGGTGTTTTTGGCCTCTTTGGCTTATGGTTTACAAACGTAAACTGTAAATCCTAAATAATTTGTTTGATTCAGCTTAAGGGTTCTAATTGTGGCTGATGATAACAATAATCCCACTGCCTCCCCAACAAGCATGATGTCAGAGTCCATTAATTAGGGCTACAAATAAGCCAGATCTATAAACAGAGCTGCATGCAGAATTCATGTGCTGGAAAAGGACTAATGTCCAGAAGTGGACGAACAACTAGAACTTTCCTCTGTAGTTTACAGCCAGTGAAAGCGAAGAAGAAAACGAAGAAGACTTGATACACTGGCATAACTGCCACATTTAAGAAACCACATTAAAAATAGTTAAGAAGTATTTTTTTCATGTCGAGGTTCACCATCATAGAGGTTAGTGAACGCGAGTCGTCATTCTGATGTACTAGGGTTCGATGTCTGCTACGGGCGGTTTACATAGACACTACAAAACTCCAGGGCTTTCACAGTCTACAAAACTGGAGGGCTTTCACTGTCTACAAAACTGGAGGGCTTTCACAGTCTACAAAACTGGAGGGCTTTCACTGTCTACAAAACTCACATGTTGGAAGGGATTGGGTCTTCTTAATACCTCTAAATGATTGAATTCTTGCGTTGGTTTCGATAGTGGTACCGACAGCCGACAGCTGCGTCCGTGGCTTGGACCTTGCGAGTCAGACTCGTAATTTCACCGTACTGCGATCAAAACCCACTGTTGGCTGCGTGGATTTTCATCCTAGTCAAAAGTGGTTTGGCTATCTCGTTAGAATGCAACAGGATCAAAGACCATCACAAGCACTACATCTCAGCAAGATCAAATACCATCGCAAGCACTACATATCAGTAGATAAGCTACAAGAGCAAGAGGACCGCCGCAGAAAACATGAATCGACAACATTAAAGACACTCTACGCCTTCGCGGGATGACAATAGCCAGTGGAAGCCAACGTGCACTGGATAGCAAATTATTCCTCCCCACGACGCTTAACGGTAAAAGTGGTTTATGATGATGAATGACCGGGCGTCGCAGGGCGATCCAGCCTATAATGGGTAACAGGATGTATGTCCTGAGGAAGTAAAGACGGCCGGCGTAATGCTGATCACATTACCCACCTTGTGCCGATTGGTCTGTAAAAATATGGGTGCTCTTCTGATTAGCCAGTTACGAATAAGGCGTGAAAAGGGATCTTTACTTTACTTTTTACTTCACCAACAGCCGACTGTTCAAGGCAATGGCAAACTACTGAACGTAACATGTGCCTAGAAAAACCGTAACAGCCAAACAATGTTGGGGTTGGTTCTGCAATCTCCTGTCAAGGATACGCAACTAACTTGACTGTGTCCACAATAAAAGCGCTTTCTGCCGCCCCCTCCCCCTTCCCCCCCATCCCTCCCCACCCCAAACAAGAGCAGTCCAACTTACAAAGCGGAAATCATTATTGAAGTAATAATGCACCAGTCTTCATCTGAGGCGATAGGTTGTCCCGGGCTGCTTGCAGGAGCCCAGCAGCGCACATGTCGTTGTTAAAGCCTGTGCTTTCTCAGTAGGGAACCAAGTAGTCCTGGTCGTCGACTAGGTAACTGAGAGGTGTGTGACTGAAGTATAGTCATCACCCTAGATACTTTTGCCAAGAACGCGATACCTACCGTCCTATCGTATATTACAGCAGCCCAGTGTTTGTGTGGACAGAGCAAAACCTGAATCTAAATCATTATGGTTGTAAGTGAATCCAAAACAGCATGTACTTACACCTAGTACACCCGATGACTCATCTTCAGGGAAACCTTGGAGACCTTGAGTTGACTACAGAAAGCCATTCGTCCCCTTCCAAACGTATCACCTAGTGAGCTTCGGTGTCAAGATTGTCTTGTGTCCACTATCTTTACTGGCGGAGCCCTGTCTGTTCATGCAGAAACTATATTCTAACATCTCATTATTTCTTACAAATCAAGAATCAGTTGTGGCAGAACTTCTATTTTCAAAATAGCGATGGGCGGATATGTTCTTTTTCGGTAGTTGTGATTTCTCCCAGATTGTTCTGTGGCCTTGTCATAGAATGCTTTTTTGTGCGCGTTTCTAAAGCATGACACAATTTTTGTTGGGGGTCGGCGAGAGCGGGCAGACTGTAACACAAAATAACTCTATCTTGTGAACTCCGATGATTGTTTCAATGGCAGACTACATATTGTATACTTGTGTTGGATTAGCTCACATTGTAAAAATATGTCTTTACTCTGTGAGAGAGAGATGAGAGGGAGGGAGATGGAGAGATAGTGTGAGAGAGTAGGAGAGAGATGAACAGTGTGTGACAGAAAGATAAAGTATGTGTGTGTGTGTTTTTATGTTTATGTGTGTGTTTTATGTATGTGTATGTGTTTTTATGAATGTGTGTGTATTTTTATGTTTGTATGTGTTTTTACGTATCTGTGTCTGTTTTTATGTATGTGTGTGTGTTTTTACGTATGTGTGTGCGCTGACGTGTGTGTGCTCAGAGGAGAGACAGTATGACGAAGAAGACAATAATTTCATCCAAAACACATCTAATTGTGTTTATTGTCAACAGACTGCAATGTTCCAAAACACCTCTAACTGTGTTCATTGTCAACAGACTGCAATGTTCCTAAACACATCTAACTGTGTTCATTGTCAACAGACTGCAATGTTCCTAAACACATCTAATTGTGTTTATTGTCAACAGACTACAATGTTCCAAAACACATCTAACTGTGTTCATTGTCAACAGACTGCAGTGTTCCTAAACACATCTAACTGTGTTTATTGTCAACAGACTGCAATGTTCCTAAACACATCTAACTGTGTTTACTGTCAAGAGACTGCAATGTTCCAAAACACATCTAACTGTGTTCACTGTCAACAGTCTGCAATGTTCCAAAACACATCTAATTGTGTTCACTGTCAACAGACTGCAATGTTCCAAAACACATCTGATTGTGTTCATTGTCAACAGACTGCAATGTTCCAAAACACCTCTAACTGTGTTCATTGTCAACAGACTGCAATGTTCCAAAACACATCTAATTGTGTTTATTGTCAACAGACTGCTCTGTTCCTAAACACATCTAATTGTGTTTATTGTCAACAGACTGCAATGTTCCTAAACACATCTAACTGTGTTTATTGTCAACAGACTGCAATGTTCCTAAACAAATCTAACTGTGTTCATTGTCAACAGACTACAATGTTCCAAAACACATCTAATTGTGTTCATTGTCAACAGACTGCAGTGTTCCTAAACACATCTAACTGTGTTCATTGTCAACAGACTACAATGTTCCAAAACACATCTAATTGTGTTCATTGTCAACAGACTGCAGTGTTCCTAAACACATCTAACTGTGTTCACTGTCAACAGACTGCAATGTTCCAAAACACCTCTAACTGTGTTCATTGTCAACAGACTGCAATGTTCCTAAACACATCTAATTGTGTTTATTGTCAACAGACTACAATGTTCCAAAACACATCTAACTGTGTTCATTGTCAACAGACTGCAGTGTTCCTAAACACATCTAACTGTGTTCACTGTCAACAGTCTGCAATGTTCCAAAACACATCTAATTGTGTTTATTGTCAACAGACTGCTCTGTTCCTAAACACATCTAATTGTGTTTATTGTCAACAGACTGCAATGTTCCTAAACACATCTAACTGTGTTTATTGTCAACAGACTGCAATGTTCCTAAACACATCTAACTGTGTTCATTGTCAACAGACTACAATGTTCCAAAACACATCTAATTGTGTTCATTGTCAACAGACTGCAGTGTTCCTAAACACATCTAACTGTGTTCACTGTCAACAGTCTGCAATGTTCCAAAACACATCTAATTGTGTTTATTGTCAACAGACTGCTCTGTTCCTAAACACATCTAATTGTGTTTATTGTCAACAGACTGCTCTGTTCCTAAACACATCTAATTGTGTTTATTGTCAACAGACTGCTCTGTTCCTAAACACATCTAATTGTGTTCGCTGTGAACAGACTGCAATGTTCCTAAACACATCTAATTGTGTTTATTGTCAACAGACTGCAATGTTCCTAAACACATCTAATTGTGTTCATTGTCAACAGACTGCAATGTTCCTAAACACATCTAATTGTGTTCATTGTCAACAGACTGCAATGTTCCTAAACACATCTAATTGTGTTTATTGTCAACAGTCTGCAATGTTCCAAAACACATCTAATTGTGTTTATTGTCAACAGACTGCAATGTTCCTAAACACCTCTAATTGTGTTCATTGTCAACAGACTGCTCTGTTCCTAAACATATTTAAATTGCAGTATTATTCTTTCTGTCTATCTCTGTATCATATGTGTTATCATAGCTATACCATTCACAACTATGTTAATTTGTTACGCTATTGTAGTTTTTGTTTGTGGTTGTTGTTATTTTTTGTGTGTTTTGTTTAATAGCTAACAATGATTGCCTTGCAATGGCTAATGAAAGTAGAATAATATACACAACAATGAGAAGGAGACAAACAAAGTTCTTTGGTCGTGTGATGAGAAAAGGAGCACTTGAAAATATCGTGACGACTGGAAAGATCAATGCAGAGGCAGAGCAAGAGAAACGATGATGGCTGGCCTATGATACTAACATTGATGAATATCATCAGTGAAACTGATCCAGAACACCAAAGACCGAGAGTTGTGGAGATGCATGAACGCCTACGCCAGCTGGCAGAGCACTTGATGAAGATGATGATGCTGCTGACGACTGTAGTTTCTAGATAAATTAATTATCTATGCAAGTAATAATTTTGTCCCATTATTCTGATCATTTTTTCATAACTTGTATTTTCAGAAACCCAAATGGCTACTTAAAGAAGGAGAAAAGCGTAATTTGGCCACCATATGATGATGCGAACAAGAATTACCTGAGCTTCTCACTGGATCCCTCAGTTCGTCAGAACTTGTATGGCGAGAGACGTATCATCTGGGATCAGCTGTTACCTCAGTGGAAGAAAGAATATGAGTCCCTGCAATCCAAACAGGATCTCTAGATGATGATGTAATGTCGCTTCAGACACTTTGTGTCGAAAACTTCAGTTTTATGCCAGGGTGCGTTTTATTTCGTATTCATTCATTATCACCACTATCAATTGTCAGTTCCGTTTTATTTCGTATTCATTCATTATCACCACTATCAATTGTCAGTTCCGTTTTATTTCGTATTCATTCATTATCACCACTATCAATTGTCAGTTCCGTTGTATTTCGTATTCATTCATTATCACCACTATCAATTGTCAGTTCCGTTTTATTTCGTATTCGTTCATTATCACCACTATCAATTGTCAGTTCCGTTTTATTTCGTATTCATTCATGATCACCACTATCAATTGTCAGTTCCGTTTTATTTCGTATTCATTCATTATCACCACTATCAATTGTCAGTTCCGTTGTATTTCGTATCCATTCATTATCACCACTATCAATTGTCAGTTCCGTTGTATTTCGTATTCATTCATTATCACCACTATCAATTGTCAGTTCCGTTGTATTTCGTATTCATTCATTATCACCACTATCAATTGTCAGTTCCGTTTTATTTCGTATTTATTCATTATTACCACTATCAATTGTCAGTTCCGTTGTATTTCGTATTCATTCATTATCACCACTATCAATTGTCAGTTCCGTTGTATTTCGTATTCATTCATTATCACCAATATCAATTGTCATTCCGTTGTATTTCGTATTTATTCATTATCACCACTATCAATTGTCAGTTTTGTTGTATTTCGTATTCATTCATTATCACCACTATCAATTGTCAGTTCCGTTGTATTTCGTATTCATTCATTATCACCACTATCAATTGTCAGTTCCGTTGTATTTCGTATTCATTCATTATCACCACTATCAATTGTCAGTTCCGTTTTATTTCGTATTCATTCATTATCACCACTATCAATTGTCAGTTCCGTTTTATTTCGTATTCATTCATTATCACCACTATCAATTGTCAGTTCCGTTGTATTTCGTATTCATTCATTATCACCACTATCAATTGTCAGTTCCGTTTTATTTCGTATTCATTCATTATCACCACTATCAATTGTCAGTTCCGTTTTATTTCGTATTCGTTCATTATCACCACTATCAATTGTCAGTTTCCGTTTTATTTCGTATTCATTCATGATCACCACTATCAATTGTCAGTTCCGTTTTATTTCGTATTCATTCATTATCACCACTATCAATTGTCAGTTCCGTTGTATTTCGTATCCATTCATTATCACCACTATCAATTGTCAGTTCCGTTGTATTTCGTATTCATTCATTATCACCACTATCAATTGTCAGTTCCGTTGTATTTCGTATTCATTCATTATCACCACTATCAATTGTCAGTTCCGTTTTATTTCGTATTCATTCATTATCACCACTATCAATTGTCAGTTCCGTTGTATTTCGTATTCATTCATTATCACCACTATCAATTGTCAGTTCCGTTGTATTTCGTATTCATTCATTATCACCACTATCAATTGTCAGTTCCGTTGTATTTCGTATTCATTCATTATCACCACTATCAATTGTCAGTTCCGTTTTATTTTGTATTCATTCATTATCACCACTATCAATTGTCAGTTCCGTTTTATTTCGTATTCATTCTTTATCACCACTATCAATTGTCAGTTCCGTTTTATTTCGTATTCATTCATGATCACCACTATCAATTGTCAGTTCCGTTGTATTTCGTATTCATTCATTATCACCAATATCAATTGTCATTCCGTTGTATTTCGTATTTATTCATTATCACCACTATCAATTGTCAGTTTTGTTGTATTTCGTATTCATTCATGATCACCACTATCAATTGTCAGTTCCGTTGTATTTCGTATTCATTCATTAGCACCACTATCAATTGTCAGTTCCGTTGTATTTCGTATTCATTCATTATCACCACTATCAATTGTCAGTTCCGTTTTATTTCGTATTCATTCATTATCACCACTATCAATTGTCAGTTCCGTTTTATTTCGTATTCATTCATTATCACCACTATCAATTGTCAGTTTCGTTGTATTTCGTATTCATTCATTATCACCACTATCAATTGTCAGTTCCGTTTTATTTCGTATTCATTCATTATCACCACTATCAATTGTCAGTTCCGTTGTATTTCGTATTCATTCATTATCACCACTATCAATTGTCAGTTCCGTTTTATTTCGTATTCATTCATTATCACCACTATCAATTGTCAGTTCCGTTTTATTTCGTATTCTTTCTTTATCACCACTATCAATTGTCAGTTCCGTTTTATTTCGTATTCATTCATGATCACCAATATCAATTGTCAGTTCCGTTTTATTTCGTATTCATTCATTATCACCACTATCAATTGTTAGTTCCGTTGTATTTCGTATCCATTCATTATCACCACTATCAATTGTCAGTTCCGTTGTATTTCGTATTCATTCATTATCACCACTATCAATTGTCAGTTCCGTTTTATTTCGTATTCATTCATTATCACCACTATCAATTGTCAGTTCCGTTTTATTTCGTATTCATTCATTATCACCACTATCAATTGTCAGTTCCGTTGTATTTCGTATTCATTCATTATCACCACTATCAATTGTCAGTTCCGTTTTATTTCGTATTCGTTCATTATCACCACTATCAATTGTCAGTTCCGTTTTATTTCGTATTCATTCATGATCACCACTATCAATTGTCAGTTCCGTTTTATTTCGTATTCATTCATTATCACCACTATCAATTGTCAGTTCCGTTGTATTTCGTATCCATTCATTATCACCACTATCAATTGTCAGTTCCGTTGTATTTCGTATTCATTCATTATCACCACTATCAATTGTCAGTTCCGTTGTATTTCGTATTCATTCATTATCACCACTATCAATTGTCAGTTCCGTTTTATTTCGTATTCATTCATTATCACCACTATCAATTGTCAGTTCCGTTGTATTTCGTATTCATTCATTATCACCACTATCAATTGTCAGTTCCGTTGTATTTCGTATTCATTCATTATCACCACTATCAATTGTCAGTTCCGTTTTATTTCGTATTCATTCATTATCACCACTATCAATTGTCAGTTCCGTTTTATTTCGTATTCATTCATGATCACCACTATCAATTGTCAGTTCCGTTGTATTTCGTATTCATTCATGATGACCACTATCAATTGTCAGTTCCGTTTTCAAGGTAGCCTGTAATGAGTGTCGAATATTGTGTCTTCTTAGTGCACACTTATTTGTAAGCTTCTGTTAGCACACTTCTTTATGTTGTCTCCAGCATGTAACAACATTACATGTCATCTCTTGGTGTTGTTCTCCAGCATGTAACAACCTTACATGTCATCTCTTGGTGTTGTTCCCCAGCATGTAACAACATTACATGTCATCTCTTGGTGTTGTTCCCCAGCATGTAACAACCTTACATGTCATCTCTTGGTGTTGTTCCCCAGCATGTAACAACATTACATGTCATCTCTTGGTGTTGTTCCCCAGCATGTAACAACCTTACATGTCATCTCTTGGTGTTGTTCTCCAGCATGTAACAACCTTACATGTCATCTCTTGGTGTTGTTCCCCAGCATGTAACAACATTACATGTCATCTCTTGGTGTTGTTCCCCAGCATGTAACAACATTACATGTCATCTCTTGGTGTTGTTACCCAGCATGTAACAACATTACATGTCATCTCTTGGTGTTGTTCCCCAGCATGTAACAACATTACATGTCATCTCTTGGTGTTGTTCCCCAGCATGTAACAACATTACATGTCATCTCTTGATGTTGTTCCCCAGCATGTAACTACATTACATGTCATCTCTTGGTGTTGTTCCCCAAAATGTAACGACCTTACATGTCATCTCTTGGTGTTGTTTCCCAGCATGTAACAACCTTACATGTCATCTCTTGGTGTTGTTCCCCAGCATGTAACAACCTTACATGTCATCTCTTGGTGTTGTTCCCCAGCATGTAACAACCTTACATGTCATCTCTTGGTGTTGTTCTCCAGCATGTAACAACCTTACATGTCATCTCTTGGTGTTGTTCCCCAGCATGTAACGACCTTACAGTCCATCTCTTGGTGTTGTTTCCCAGCATGTAACAACATTACATGTCATCTCTTGGTGTTGTTACCCAGCATGTAACAACATTACATGTCATCTCTTGGTGTTGTTCCCCAAAATGTAACGACCTTACATGTCATCTCTTGGTGTTGTTCCCCAGCATGTAACAACCTTACATGTCATCTCTTGGTGTTGTTCCCCAGCATGTAACAACATTACATGTCATCTCTTGGTGTTGTTCCCCAGCATGTAACAACCTTGCATGTCATCTCTTGGTGTTGTTCCCCAAAATGTAACAACCTTACATGTCATCTCTTGGTGTTGTTCCCCAGCATGTAACAACCTTACATGTCATCTCTTGGTGTTGTTCCCCAGCATGTAACAACCTTACATGTCATCTCTTGGTGTTGTTTCCCAGCATGTAACAACCTTACAGTCCATCTCTTGGTGTTGTTTCCCAGCATGTAACAACCTTACATGTCATCTCTTGGTGTTGTTCTCCAGCGTATCACAACCATCTTGTGGGTTGTTCCCTAGCATATAATGATCTTACAGTTCATCTCTTGAGTGTTGTATCTGTGTGTGTTGTGTCTTTGAGTACATGTCTATGAAAAGGGGAGAGAATTATTGTGCGAGTGTGGTGTCTGTGTGTATTGTTTCTATGGGTGTTGTGTCTGTGTGAGTGCTGTAAAGTGTGGATGTTGTGTCTGTGTATTGCTATTGTGTCCGTGGGTCTGTGATGACCTGTGAGTATGTAGTATGTCTATGAGTGGTGTGCCTGTGAGTGGTGTGTCTGAGAGAGCGTGTGTGTGTGTGTGTGTGTATCTTGTGACGGTGTGTCTTGTGTCAGTGAGTGTTGTGCTGTGTGTGTGTGACGGATGTTTCTATGTGTATGTGTTTTGTCTGTGCTGTGTTTTTAAACTATGCGCTTGTG